TACACACGCACAGATATTTTGAGACTATTTTCACTCCATAGACTCATATGTGTCAATAAAGGTGTAAAAACCGTATTTCAAGTAATTTGCGAAATAAAACCCACCATTTTAGGGATTACATGATTAAGAAACGTGATAATGTTACAAATATCTTTAAAATGTCCTCTTCGGTCATATTTCAGTCCGGTTTCTCGTCAATATGCAAGATTTAGAGCGATGCGCGCTCCCGCGAGAGGGGATGCAATTTTGGGCAGGCATGCGTTTCTGGGCATAACACCTATTTACAATCCGCATGGTTCAAAGTTTAGGAAAAAACTAGCAATTTATAGTCCAGAAAATACGGTACCATAGGTGAAATCGAATAATTTCCACGGCACACCTGACGATCACTCAGGGCACCGCGGAACAGTGGTTGAAAAACACTGTTCTATCAGAGCAACTGACAGGAAGCCCCCCCCAGCCGGAAGTGAGCATTCCCCGCCCTGATGTTAACAGTGGTTAGTGGGCGGGGTCTGACACTGAGTAGCGGTCCTCTTCACCAATCAGCGGCGAGGACTTACAAACTCTCCTCCAATAGAGTGCCACTCCTCCCAGAGAGATGGGCTTAGGTCCCGCCCCCTACACAAAAATAACGAATGGGGGCGTTTCTTGTGGGCGTGGTTTAGTCTCAGTTCGACCCAGTTTGAAAGTGAACCAACCGCTCCAGTCGCAGCTTCAGCCCCAAACAACAACAACCCGAACCGAGACCCAGAAAGCCCAGAGATCCGGTCCTAGTCCCCTTGTTCCGGGCCTCCTACCGTGTGAGTACCCATGTCCGTTCTGCCTCAGCCGAACCGGTTAAGGTTAGATTCTTCCTGGAGATGGGCTCTGATTCTCAGCCTTTTTGCGGCTGAGAAATGCCGCAAATTGCATTTCAGCCTTTATGCGGATAAAAGGCTGAGAAATGCTTTTAAAATGGCTGCTGCTTCGGTCAGACCGGGGCGACTGTCCCAGGCTTCCAACCTGAGCTCCGTGGTGTTTCCACGCAGGAAACTGTTCAGTGTGGGGTTGTAAACACGAAACGCCCATTTTTTTTCACTATAAATACCAGGAAGTAGCCGTATCCCCTCCATACGACACTGACCTCTCCGGGAAGTAGACGGAGCCTTTCGTTCAAAATGCGCAGCAGCTGCAGAGACTTGATGTTTCCGTTGCAAAACGCGTTAAGCTGAATAAAAACGTTTCTTGTATGAAATTTAAAGTAAATATATTTCCCCCGGGTCTGCGGTGCTGGTTTATACCGATTAAAGAGCGTTTCTGTCCGGTTATCCGGCCCACGGAGGGGGATGGGGCCGCTCCGCAGAGGGCGGGAAATGGTGGCCCATTGTTCTTCATGTTAGCTCGGCCAGGCTAGCCGCTGCGGCCCGGGAGGAGGCTGAGGGATGGAGCGGGGGTTCACCCGGTTCCGGTACCAGAACCATGTCCAGGAGGAAAACCGGGAATCTGCAGAAGGAGAACCGGAGAGTTAGGGGGCTTCAGGCCGGCTCCACCACTGAGAAATGGATCCTGTGGCCGGGTTCTTTGTTCCCGGAGAGCCGCAGAGAGAGGCCGCTGAACAGAACCGAGCCTCGGTGGGGCAGAACCGGATGGATCCGGGACTGATGTCCGGAGAGGAAAACACTGTTTAATGTCCAAGCACAATTAAGATGAAAGATTTATAAATTAAACTAGATTATCACTGACAACTTGAAGGCTCCTGATCAGGTATTGATTATAATCAAATATCAGTTAAATATTTACCTTTTAAACAGAAATAACTGGAAACAGATCAGATTGAAGGAACATTTCATATTAATCTACTCAGGTTGGGTTAATTTGTTAAATTAGGATTTTTAGTGAAATAATCAGATTATTTTAATCCAGACAGAACCAGGATCCAATCAGAGGTTAAACAGGAAGTCAGGACATGTTTCAGTGTGACACATTTATTAAATCTTGTTTTCCTTTTGGCTTTTTCCCTTTCGGGTCGCCACAGCGAGTCATCTGTCTCCATGTAACCCTGCCATCTTCTCTCACTCCAACTACCTTCATGTCCCGTTCATCCATCCATAAATCTCCTCTTTGGTTTTCCTCTGGTCTCTTTCCTGGCAGGTCCATCCTCAGCATCCGTCTACCGATGTATTCACTGTCTCTCACATGTCCAAACCATCTCAGTCTGGCTTCTCAGACTTTATCTCCTACAAACCTAAGCTGTTCCTCTGATGTTTTCATTTCTAATCTTATCCATCCTTGTCAATCCCAAACAGAACCTCAACATCTTCATCTCTGCTGCCTCCAGCTCTGCCTCTTCAACCTATCCCTCTGTCTCTAAACCAAACAGCATTGCTGGTCTCACCACTGTCTTCAAAATCAATCAGATTTTATTTGTATAGCACATTTCAGCAGCAAGGCATTTCAAAGTGCTTTACATTATAACAAACATAAAAACAGAGTCATATAACATTGAATAAACAGTAAAAAGAGAGAAATAACATTAAAAGTATAAATAAATTAAAAAAATGATAGAAAATAATTAAAACCCGCACCCCTTGTCTACCCTATAGAACTTTAGTTAAAATCCCGTCAAAGGGACCCTAACCCT